CATTGGTCCTCAGTGAACAAAATCATTATAATGCTTTATGGCCCAACAACAGATTGCATCTTTGGCAGCTTTGGAAGTTCATTTTCAACCTTTTTTAGATAAAATCATTCACATCCTAATAAAATGGAAATCTCCACACAAACTTCTTTTCTACTCAATGATCCTGTATCATTTGAAGCTTTGCCTTGTGGGCGGGGCATGCAGTTGGGAGCAATTTTCTGTATTGCAGTGCTATCTCATATAAAACCTCTCATTCCTGCACAAATTGTGGATATGTGACTGATTTGTCATGGGCTGTGTCCGAACGTCCTCCTCACTCCCGATAACAAATAGGATAATCTCATATTAGTCAGATGATAATTTTAGATATTTTTGTAATTAAAACTGCTTGGCCTGCTGCTTTTTTAATGTTGCTGGATTTTATTGTAACTCTTGACGCTGAACTGGTCAGCCGCTCCTACTAGTGATATACCAGACATGGAGTTAGGTTAACAACCAAGCTACAGGTGACTTACACTGCAAAAACGATCTGAAATTAAGTACAAATTTCTTATATCAAGTGTATTTACCCTTAATTTGAGCAGGTAAATAAGATAGTTTGCCAATGGAATGAGTAATTAGATAATATGCACTTGAAATAAGACAATGCAGTAGATTTTTCTTATTTCAAATGTAAATTGTCTTGTTCCATTGGCAAAGCTTCTCATTTACCTCCTCAATCCAAGAAATAATGCATTTGTTTTAAGAAAAATTGCTTATTTAGATTTACATTTTTTGCAGTGTAGACCTCATTCAAAAGAGACAGGGCACCAAACTCCTCTATTCTACCCAGAAGATACATCTCCCAGGCCAGGTGAAGCTTAATCACCCTGGCGGCTAACAAGCTTTTTGCAGATCCATCTGGGACCAAGTGGGAGAAATACCCCCAGATCCCGAATAATATGTTTGGTCTCTGTGATTGAATGTTTGGATAAGGAAAGTAAAATCTACCAGAAGCTCTGTCACCAGAGGTAAGGATAAGTGGTTGAATCCCCTACAGGTGCCAGTGCAAACCTCCAACTAAACTGCAGTTCAGTGGGAGGTTGCTGTGTCTGCAGCTGCCAGATCCTAAATATTTATAGAAATATCCATATACGCCATGTTTAAGCAAGCAGAGATGCACTGGGTCTTTCTGCATAGCTGCTTTAAATTTGCCTTCCAGGGTTGGAGGTTAGAGGTGGAGCGGGGCTATAGGACAGGGCCTGGGTTGGGCATTGAGCCCTATACTGCAAAAGCAATCTAGAAATAAGTAAAAAATGTCTTAAATTAAGTGTATTTACCTTTGATTTGAATAGGTAAATGAGATAATTTGACAATGGAATCAGTATTTTTACTCTTAAACTAAGATAACTAGATAATATGCACCTGAAATGAGACAATGCAATTGTGCTTTCTTATTTTAAACCTAAATTGTCTTGTTCCATTGGCAATATGTCTCTTTTATCTCCTGAATTCAAGGACAAATGCACTTATTTTAAGAAAAAAGGACTAATTTATATTAATGTTTTTTCCAGTCTGTTTGGTGCCTTTGGCTCTCCAGCTCTTCCAATGATTTTCTTAGATTTGGGTTTCCTGGGCACATGATGCTGGTGGAGGTTCTCTGGGGGGGGTGAGAGGAATCATATGCCTGCTCAGTGAAAGTTAGGGGTTGGTCTGGCGTGATCAGTGGACCCACCGTACCATTTTTACGGTGTCACTGGCGGCTTTTGGAGACTCTTACGTGAAAGCATGTATCATTCCTACTCTGCCATGGGGCGCCTCCCCCACCCCAACCCCGTTCTCCCGCAGGAGTCCCTCTCAGCGCTGCAGTCAGAGCCGCAGGATGTTTACCCTCAGCGTCCAGACTGCAAATGAAGCGCGCATGCACCAGATTGACGGCGCAAATTATCACAATAATTAAAATAGCCTGCGCTTTGTAAAGTGAAAAAAGTCGATAACATGCAACTTT